GTGGTGAATCCCATGCCAGCCAGCTACCCAGTTTTGAGGCAATGACGGTTGAACCACAGTTTTGATCTTCGCAACGTTGGGATGAAATTCATTGAAGTTGACCATTGATTGACCATTGATTGACCATTGATTGACCTTGATTGATCTTGATTGACCTTGAGATTTTGACTACTTAGAAGGATGTTTCAGCAATATTCAGGAATTCTTTCTGACCGGCCATCGGCCCATGGTCAGAAAGCGGCACACGGAATTGAGGCGGCCGTTGCCTCGCCAAATGTTAGCAACGGGTCAGGCAAGGGGGTTCGAATGGGTTCTATTTTGATACAGTTTCCAGTCATTTCCAGTCCCAAATTGCTTGAGGACAGGGATGTCATTATCATATAATTATTGTCATTATCATTCAATATTCATTATGATCTATTATGATCTATTATGATCTATTATGATCTATTATGATCTATTATGATCTATTATGATCTATTATGATCTATTATGATCTATTGATCTATATATATATATATTTGAATTAGTTAATACGGTTGATTTATGATATTTATGTTGATTTAAAGATATGTCTTGATCTAGCCACCAGGTCCTGGATGCTAGCAGCTGCTAGCAGCTAGTTGCCACAGTTCTGGGACGGTCGCTTGGAACGAGGCCCGCAGCCCTTGCCGGCACAGCACACAGTAACGGGTGAACATGCCAGAGCGTGTGAGGCCCAGAGTAGTCGGTTCTGTGAGGATTTCAGATCTTGGGGACTGAACTCAAGGACTGTTTTCGGGAACCATGATCTGCACCAATAGAGACCCAGAGACCATTCCCGTGTGTCAAGTCACCTAGCATGCCTGCGAGCTATCACTGTGCATTCCAAGACCATGCCAGCCCCTGAGGTATGGTCATCGAAGGCTGTCCATGGACAGCCAATCTGGAGTGTGGGGAGCTCACTTTCAGCTGAGCAGGTTCCTTGTTCCGTTCAAAATAACAGATCTACATCTACGGGTCAAGCAGACCAAAGCTGTCACCATTGTTTCCAAAGGGACTGACTATGAAGAAAACATTCCAGGCACAACACGAGATAAGGAACTCACATGTGCACGTGATGTTATCAATGGTCACAATACATTGCGCCACCATGCGCCACCAACAGCAGTCGAACACCTTGCACGCAGTGGCCCCTGCAGATTTCTATGGAGGGTTTGGGAAGATAAAACATGCCCAAACACCCACTTGATCATTTTTTCATGAAGAATATGGCACCTCCCAGATAGGTATGCGTTTTTGGAAAACGAGCAAAGAGGAAATGCTTCGTTGCGGCGTTGAGGATTGTTGCTTCTAGAAGCTCTGCAGCTAACCAGGCCCTGGACCTGGCGAAAAACCTCAATCTGACATTTTTACTGACCAAGGAAGGACATATCAACGTTTCAAAGAAGTAAACTCATACAATTTCAGCAAAAATAGACTGCTACTTTACAAACAGCCCCCTGTAGGAGTATGTGTAGCCGACAAACGCATGATTTTCGATGTTGGGAAGGATGATGGGCACGACAGGGTGTTAACAAGGAACAGTGCAGAGTCTCAACAAAAGCTTCATAGGTCTTGCCTGAAAGGTTCTTAACATTTTCTAGCCTGGACTAAACCTCTTCAGGCTCCTGAATGTGCTGAATGCGCTGAATGTGCAATAGAAAACATAATTGTCTGCAACTGGACAGCGCCTGGCAATATGCATTCTACAGCTGCTCAACAGGCGCAGAGATACGCGCGGGCAGCGGAAGTAGGTGAGTGCCCAAGCTTCCAATTCCGTATTGCATTCGTGCAGAGTGCAGAGGGTCTTATAGTACTAGCAGACAGCAGCCTGCTATTGCTGCCTTGAGCTGTACAAGTACAAAGGGCCAACTATTTTGCTTTGGTGGCAGTATTTGGATGTTTTTTGGCCAGATACGAGGGACTTGACATGAATGACGCCACTGCCTTTACTTTACATGTATGATGCCTCACAAATGTATGACATTCAACATGACATGTGATCGATAGCGACAGCTTCGCTTTACATGCCTGCTGTCTCAAGATTTCAAAATCATTGAACCACCTTTGCACCAGAGGTGTGTGACCTGAGTTTGCCAAAGCAGATGGTTGCATGCCTTTCTACTGCCTTTGTATTGCTTTTATTAGGTTTTTCTGCATGCTTTTGCCATACGCCTTGATTCATGGTTCATGTCATGACCAGGCGACACCAGTGCTGCACCAGTACTACACTCTCTCAAAGATCTCCTGGACTGAGGTGAGCGCGGATCAGCCTCCAGACCTTCCAGTGCCTTCCAGAGACATAAGGCGGCGGCCAAGGGCCGAGGCCACGACCCAAAGCTGAGGGGATTTCCCAGCTACCCTGTACAGCTAGCCATAGCTAGCCATGTTGGCCATGTTTGATTACCCAAGGGCAAATTCAAATCATATTATCAACATTCCTCAGCGATCGATTGAAACGTACTGAAATTTAATGTTACTTGGCATTAGAATACATTACTGGTTGGTGGTTTGGAACATTTGTTTCCATCCATATATATATATATATTGGGAATAATAATCCCAACTGACTTTCATATTTTTCAGAGGGGTTCAAACCACCAACCAGATTAGAACAGAAGATCTGTGGCCAGGAGCAGATGGCTGCTACGAATCGGCGAATCATTGTCGCAGCACCGCAGGACGGGGTACAGACATGACCTGGACATACAAAGCTCCCAACTTCGCCAATTTACTTTAGCTGATTTAGCTGCTGTATCAACAGGTTTTCCATGTTTTTCCCTCTGGAAACATTTCTCCATGTATCTCCATGTAATGATTCCTATGCCTGGACCCCTGTGCACAACTTCCAGTATCAGTTGCGGCCTCCAAGAGCGATCATTCGAATCTTCCATTTGACTCGAGTCATGGACAGAAATAGACATTGACATTTGGACATATTTGAGTTGACTGGAGGCATCATATGCACCTGGTGGCAGTGGCATGGCTTGCAAGTACATTGGAGGATACACAAAAGTTTCTTGAGTGACACTGAGCTTGCTATTGCCAGGTTTCTTTGGAAGATACTGGTACTGTAAGAATTTCCCGAAGCTGCTCTCCCTAGGAAGGTCAATAAATCACAGAGCAGATCACGGTGCAAAATCCCATGATGCTTCGGTGGTCACATTTTAGGCGCAGGATGCCGCAGGGATGTTACAGAAATCTCACCTGCTGAGGCCAAATGACCCGAATGTTCTCTCCGAGGCAGTGTGCAATATGGAACATGCTTGGCCAATTGTAAAAGATGTAAAACATCGATACGATGGGAGTTCGTTTCACAGAATCCCTTGTCTATCCACAAGTGAATATGCTGAAGGACTGCAGGTTTTGTGTAGTTTCTTGATGGCATTGTGGCATCACAATGATTGGCAATCTTGCGCGTGCTTTTCTGAATCACCGTGTTTTTTTTTTGCACGGAATTGACTTACGTAGTAGTACTTTCAGTCTGGGGCGACAAGGCGTCTCTCTGGCAAAGAATCATCGGATCCAACTTCGTAATCTGTTTCTTGCGCAGTGTCGCCTGACTGTGTTTGTCCGTTGCACAACACGTAAGTTCCGTTGTCTTTTTCCGTTGCTCTTCCACAGCACTGATCACTGCCTTACAATAGGACCGTAATTGACTGTTTATAGTTTATAGATGTTTATAGTATAACAGTAATTTATAGTATTTATATAGAATATGTATTGACTGTTTATTTGACTGTAATATATTATATCAAAGCATATATATTATACAATATGTACAGTAGTTGTTCATTTATTTTGTTAGTCATTTATTAATCCCGGGAGGAAGTCTGTCCGCCAAGCCATATCCTCCAGAATTGACAAAGAGGGTCTTCATCAAACGGGGCAGCAATCACAACCAAGTCTGTGGAAGAGAAAGATTGAAGCGCTAGCTTTCACTCGCTGCTGCAATTTCCAGGAGCCGGCAGTTGCAACCCAATCGAAGCGTGGCCAGAGACTGAGTTTTATGAGAACAGCTTCCAGGTATTGGGAGATGATGAGAATTCACGTTTGATCTGCCCGGCCTTTGATCACGGAAACAAGGCCAGCTGTGCAGCTCTGCGGGAACCAGCAGCCTGGCACCCAATGACACCACTGAGGGTTTGTTTTGTCTACCGACATGATGAAAGCCAGGTTCCAAACAGCAAAAAGCTGGTGAGATCTGCTTCCAAAGAATCTTCAGCAAACTATTTGAAGCAGCTCCTGTCGAATCTGGTCAGTTTCTCACCCAGAGGCTGCGAGCATTGCTCAAGCTGCACAGGCCGAGCCAGTCATGGTGGCTTTCAAGTCGTGCCTGACTGATGGTACTGTGCCGCTACTGTGTAGTGTGCATAGGGGTCAAATAGAAAACACAACAGATCCGAGTATGTCGGTCCAAAGGTGTCAATGTTTCTTTTCACCCCCACACCGTAATAGGGCTTCAGTTTCAGTTCTGTGCCTTTTTACTCACATTCTTGCACTCAGTTTGATCATGGTTCAAGTCAAATCAGTCTTGGCCACTGCAACTTGATGTGAACACCGGATTCGTGATAGCGGCGTTGTCGAGAGATACTCTAGCTGCTCTAGCTGTAACGATAGCAGATGGAGGTTGGCAATGGATTGAATGGATAGTTTCGCCACTCTCATGGCAGCCTTATAGTTTCCTGGTGCGGGTGAAGTGCATATGGTCCGTCGGCCGATTGGTGCTGCAGCTGTTTGTCAGGCAATGTATGGATTTTCAATCGCGTTAAACCTGAAGCTTGGCTTCAGGCTTTCATGAGTTTTTTGCAGATTGAAATACATTCTTTTGGAATTGGTGTCGGGTTCCACCCAAGTTGCATGCGACATTTGAAGATGGAAAACATAGACCAGAGATTATTTCGTTAGATGATGTTAGATGATTAATTGCAATAACCCAAAACTGCACCAGACTTGTTGTGGTTCTTCCATCGTTATATGATGGGTTCGATCCTTTGCTGCTTGCTAGTGGCTGAAGCCGCGGAAGGCGATTTCTTCCGGACCTTTCCTGTGGTCGACGAAGCACAGCATGCCGTGTTCGATGCTGAATCTGTGCAGATCCTTGGAACTGCCAGCGCTGGTGCCTTGGAAAAACATCTTCCAGCTGGCTGGAAACTTTTGCGTCTCGGTCTGGATGCAAAGGAAACTAAGGAAATCCAAACACAGGCTTTGATGAGTGTTGGCGTGGGTGATTTCCGCAATACTTCATGTGGACCGTACCGCGAGCTTGCAATAGCCGTTCCAGCATGTGAGGGCGAGGAGATCTACCTTGACTGTGGCAGCTTTATGCGCTGTCAGGAAAAGCTGCCTCATTGTTCTCATATGTTTATGCTTCGAAGCTTTGCCAGTACAGAAGCAGCTGTCCGAAGTGCGCATGCTGCAGGGATTGCTGCAGAGTTCAGCAGTAGATTTGACTTCTCTGTGAATACATCGGGCAAATCATCACGCTTGGCTTTCGCTGTTGGGTCTGCCAACAATGAACTGCTCATGGGCGAAGTCGAAGTTGTGAAAAATGAGGAGAGTGGGGGCAGTGGAGGTTTGTCCAACCGTGGAGGATACCGCTTGCAGCTGTTTGCTTCCGAAGGCGGTCGCCACATTTGCGCTTTCCCAAATGGCTTGGAGGCGGCACCAGCCCGCATGGTGGATGACATTCACGGTGGTGATTTCTTCCATGACATAGATTTCCAGCCTGAAGGGGTCTTGCACTTGCCAGTGTTGCAAGTGATGCGCTTGCCCACCTGGGGAAAACGAGGTCAAGGCAACCACACAAGCTTGGGCAGCTTGGGCAGCTTGGGCAGCTTGGGCAGGAGCTATGCTCTCCTTGACAAAGAACAAGGGCAGGGCACAGTGTCGTCTCTGACCACAAAGCAGACCAAGCAGACCGTTGCTTCGCCTGCTCCGCCGTCGCAGAGTGTGAATTTCATGGACCTCGTGAATGAGCTCAACGAAGGGAAGGAGAAACCAAGAGATCCAAGAGGAGAGCTGTCAGAAATCGATTTGCTTCAAGCCCATCAGGAGCGAGTGCCAAATCAAAACGCCCATCAGGAATTGCTGGCCAAAGCAGCTGAGCAAAATCCTCGGGCAAGATCCAGCACTACCGATCGGCATTTACCAAATGCGATATTGCAAGAGTTGTAGACAGGACAAGAAAAAGTACATAACGCAAATTGTCACAGTTTTATTCACGTGTGCACTCAGTAGTACATCTGAAAGGCCCTATATTCAGACAGTGGTGAGAAAAGTGACCAAGTTCAGTCGCTGCAGAGGCGGTTGCGGCGCAAACTGACAGCCAACCACAGGCCAGGCGGATGGGATTGGATGAACTTGGAACTTGGAGCCCATGAGGCCCAAGAGATCAAGAGACGACATTTTTGATGCCACGGCATGATTGATGCCATGATATGTACTGTATCATTTGCTGAAATCTACATTTGCTGGTTCACTTGGCAGAGCAGTTCCTTCACCCTGGCTGGTGATCGTACTCGTCCCTTTTCATCCTTTCCTGAGATTCTTGAGATTTGTGGACCCCAAGGCTTGTTCAGCAAGAAGTGGACACGATTAGATTCAATTGTACTCGTACATAGTACAATTCACTACTTGTCATCTCAAGGCAAAACTTCATGACTAGGGATCCCTGATCTGCGACATCGTGGGACATGGTTGGAATCTTTCTAAAGCATAGAATCCTATTCCAACTGAGAGTGGCAGTTATACATAAAAGATCATAAAAGATACAAAACATTACAGAGACGTAAGGGGTTGGAGAATGGCATGTCGACGATCAGAGACGAACATCCTATGTCATGGGCTGATCACCACAGCCCAGTGGGCCAAGAGTCCTCATTTCTTGCCACAGTTGACAGGTACGGGGTGTCGTCGGGGACCCAACGATTGGTGAGGTGTGACCACTGTGACAGGATCGAACGATGGTCAGAATTGATGTCGGTGCTTGGAAAATTCATTTCGAACGCATCAACTTGTAACTTGTATTGTCCAACTATGTCCAGTGTCTGAATTCTGTGGTACTTGGTTGTGAGATTTCCAGGTGATAGGTGGATATTGTTTCCTCAGATTTGGAAGTTTAGAAACCAATGTAGATTGAGTCTTGATTTGAACACTGATAAGTACTTTGGTTTCTAAAAAGACCAATTTTGAGGAGGAAATCAACACTGATAACTGATAACGCATGATACTGCTATGTCATTGTATGAGTTTGACACAGTTTGACCTTTTTTGCATGATACTGTACATGTTTCCCAAAAAGCTATGGGGGCTTGTGGGTTGACAGTTCCCTCAAAAGATCTTGTCTTGTTTGAACCCACAGTACACCTGGAACTACAACTCCCAGGCAGGCCTGGCCTCTGCGGGAGGTGCCCCAAGCTGGCGCACTGAGAAGAGATGGAATCGGTGGAATCGGTGGGTCATGAAAATTAGAAAGTTGTATCAATTAGTCATATTAGTCAACTAAAATCAGTTGAATGCAATTTTGTTGGATTGGATCTCAAGCTCAGTGCCATCTCCTTCAATTGGTCTGTCCTGTTCTGTAAACCATGTTTGGAACTTCGCAGCCATTTTGGCTGAGCGCACAGCTTTGGGCTTTTGGGTTTTAAAGCGCTTGTGGGAGGTCGTTTTTGCCCAATGGATTCCGCTCCGGACTACACACAGCAGACTAGAGGGCGTTCTGCCAACCGTGGTCGAGGTGCCTCGCCAAAGACATCAATGGTGTTTTACGCCCAGTTTGCGTCAAGAAGAGTCCTCATGTTCAAGCAACTATTTTGTCACACAGCAACCAGTGCCAAACTACAGGTATCGCCAATCTAGCGAGTAGATATGGTATGATATGGTATATTCCAAAAATCAGCATTTGGATATATAGAGTGTCTGTAGCCATTCTTGTGGATTCGGCCTTTGATTTCAGTCGACTAAAAACAGGTGACGAGGAGGCTTTCTCCCCAGAGCCATTGTCCGAAGAAGATCGTCTCAAGAAGGTCTTTGGCTCCCCAGCTGCCAATAGGAGTGCTGCAAAAAGCAGCAAACGAATCGTGATTTGAGGATGGGTCAAAACCCTGGTACCCCTGGTGAACATCAAAATAGCTGGTAAATGGATGTTCATCCCACTAAAAAATACTAAAAATGGATCTATAGGTATTGACATTGACCCATACCCATTTGAGGATGAACAAAGTTGACTTCTTTGGCCAAATATGGACAAAGCATGACAAAGCTTTTTGCCCCATAAGCATCCATAAGCATCCATAGCCCCGCAAATCACTAGCCCACTCAGAAGCATGACCAAGGCATTGCAATTCCATGCGTGTTTCTCTAGTAGAGAATTGGCCTTTGAGGATGACATAGGATGACATGGGAAGACTGGACCATTGATGCCATTGATGCTCTCAGGCTCAGAAGGTGTTCCTCCGGCACCCTTCCCATTCTCGAAGAACAGAAGTTCGGAAGCGGCACCTTGCCCAGACCAACGGATTCAGACGAAACTTTCCCACCGCACATCAAAACCAAACAGTTTGTTTTCATGTGTTTTCAATACTGAAGACCTCTTTCCTGACCTTTTTGAGTCAAAGCCAGGACACATTTGGATACATTTGGGTGATGTTTGGTGCATTTTGCTGGCGACAAGGAATCATTTCCACTATGGAGTGCGGTGATGTTCTCGGCGTCAAGATCATGATGATCATGAGACAAGCCGCGAAGTTGCTCAGCGTGCCATGGGGAATTGTGGGGGAAGGAAACTCATGGACGCCTGTAGCAACACATCTTATGTCGATGCTGGTGAAAGATGGTGAAAGGACATCTGAATGAAGTTTCTTGTTTCATGAGGATGCCATCAGGAATCAAAAACATTCTCCAAACTTGGTGAAACTTGGTGTAGCTTTGTTGGACTTGCACAGATTCAATGAATTTATCCTATTGGCGGCGTAGCTCCACTTTGAGGTTGGGATAAGATCAGCCACAGCCATGTGCCGATCCAAGATGAGTTGCTCCACCATTTCGAATCTTTTGGGTCTTGGAGCCAGCCCCCTGTGGCTGTCTCCTGAGTCTCGGAATTAAACAGCGAAAGTTGGTGTCTGTCCCCACACGCTATCACACGCTTCACGCTTTGCAACACGTTCTAGAGAAAATCTGGGTTTGTCTGAAAATAGTGTACCCCTACACCCAATGGTTTTGCTGATCATTATCCCTACTAAATGGCTATAATTGGGGGTATACCCCATTTCCAGACATACCCATCTAGACCAAATGTATTGGAATAGTGAAATAGTTCAGGCATCCACGGCAGCCATCATGTGGGACGCAGCGTGAGGTTCTCTGAAAAAAATCCAGCCGTCCATACTGGTACTCGTTTTCATCTGTTTTCATGTATTTTCATGTATTTTATGCTACCCTCAAGTTATGAACTCACCCTGACCGATCCAAAATCTTGAGATTGGCTGGGGGAGACTTGCCGGGAAAGGTGCCCCAACATGCGTTACATATGTGTTTGTGTCACTTTGAACAGATGATTCAGATGCAGTTTAGAACACAGGAGATTAATTCCTATAATGCCCGTGAGTCATGAATCTTGCACTTACATGGTGCTTTTGATTTCAAATTACTGTATAACATTCTATTAGCCTTTTCCTCAATTTAAGATCATTCGGATGACTTGCGTTCTCATGGATCTCATGATGTTTTGGAAGTTTGGGATGATATAGATGAATTTTAGACTTTTACATGTTTGTGCGGCGTTTACAGTTTGCGAAGAAGTTAGAGTGACTTTTTTGGCTAGTTCGGAGGCATAGTTCCATGCGGGAGTGACAGTTGACTGCAACGTTGGGGTAAATCCGTTGATTCTGTGTAGCTGCTAGCCATGCGTCAAGCGTTTTGAACAAAGCCTTTTACGGCACCAGTCTCATAGTTGGTTTGATGATTGAAGTTTTCTCGACTAGGATATGGTTACATGGCCCTTGAAGATGCTAAATTAATGCACTCCAAGGGCCTATATGGGCCTGTATTTCTCGACTCGACTTCAGCAAACACCCACAGACAATCACTCACTCTATTCCACCACTGCCTTCAATCTTTTGGACTAAGGATGGTGCAATGCAGCTTGGTGAGGGAAGTTATGAAAGGGAGCAGCTACTGATAAAATGTCGAATTGGCGCAGCATGAGCAGTTTAGATTTGCCAATAATCTGACAAGATTTGATACCTGTGGTCTTTGCGTTGTGGCGGTGGCTGTTGCTTTCAGACTCTGCTGATTTTGCATGGTCGCGGCAGGTAGATTAGTCGGGGAATGTCAGTTCTGCTTGGAAGGGCATGATAGCCCAAATTTACACAGCAGCTCTGAATGCCGAGCATTGGGAACAATAAAACAACGGTAGACAGGGTAGTCGATGGTGCAACAAAGCCGCGGATAGAGAAAGATTTGAACCATTTTGACACGAGCAATTCGTGAAGAGTTCCTTTTTTTGGAATTGGGAGCTGCTTCTTCATGCTCGTGACTCTGAGCTGCAAAAGCTTTAACTCAAGCAGCCACTGACAAGAACTGAATGGATGTGGAGACCATGACCATGATCGGAAGATGTCCGAATGGGAAAGGGCAAAAAGGCACAATCACTGACTTGACTGCTGATTCTGCATTGTTTTGCAGCGGAGTTGTAGTAAGAACTGCCACTTATGAAGTACACATTATCGTATAAATTATGTTGTGTATTGTTGTGTTCGAATTTTATTCTTTGCAATCAGTAGAAGCCTTGAGTCCCTGAGTGCTTGTGCCCGATTGCTCTGTCCACTTTGTGCGAATGGATGTTTTCATGAGGAAGCTGCAATTAGAAAAATCCCGTCTGGGATCTCAAACTGCATGTTTTGTGTGAAAAATGCACCTCATTACTGGAAGGAACATCCAGGAGCATAGCTGAGAGTCTAACAGAGTCTAATACTCACACGTTAGACTGCACGCTGGCCCTTGGAAAGCTCCAAGCACCAAGTGCTTAGCACATCCATGGAGCAGTCATGGCCAGTCACTATGCACTCTGCTTCAGGCCGCTCTGCCCTGAAGGGTCTAACTGGCCTGATGCTAGACGCCCAGCATATGGTCATATCAGAAATTCAAACAATACGAGTCTCATCAAGTCATGTATATATATATGGCAAATG